GTGCCTTCAACATCGTTAGCGGCGAAGATCGGCTATACCGTATCAAGATGGCGGGCAACCAGGAAGACCTGGTGGTAACACCAAACCACATCCTGGTCCTCCATCGCGAGAAGGACGCCGGAGCTCCTGATGTGTCAAGTGATCGTTACGATACCGTTGAGATGACCGCAGCTGAGTTCGCAGCACTCGACGAGAAGGAGAGGCGCAAGCATCTGCTGTTCCGTTCTCCTAGCTTCGAGCAATCTGAAGTCAATATCCTGATCAACGAGATTACTCTCGAGTCCGAGGCCACTGAATGGGCCGGTTTCCGGGTTGACAAAGACCAACTTTACATGCGTCACGACTACCTCGTCCTCCACAACTCTGGTTTCGAAGAATCCATGAAGTTCAAGAAGCTTACCAACGCCCAGAGATCCGGTTTGAACCAGATTCCTAACCGTCGTTTCACCCTATGGTGGTCTCCCACCATTAACCGTGCCAACGTGTACGTTGGTTTCCAGGTCCAGCTGGATCTTACGGGTATCTTCTTGCACGGTAAAATCCCGACCCTGAAGATATCGTTGATTCAGATCTTCCGTGCCCACTTGTGGCAGAAGATTCACGAGTCTGTCGTCATGGATCTGTGCCAGGTCTTCGATCAGGAGCTTCAGCAGCTGGGTATCGAGACGGTCCAGAAGGAGACTATTCACCCTCGTAAGTCTTACAAGATGAACAGCTCTTGCGCCGATATCTTGCTTTTCGCAACGAACAAGTGGAACGTCACGCGTCCTTCCTTGCTGTTCGACACCAAGGACGTCTACGAGCCAACTACGACGAACAAGTTCTGGCTTGACGTGCAGTTGAGATATGGTGACTACGACTCCCACGACATTGAAAGATATGTCCGTGCCAAGTACCTCGACTACACCACCGACAGCATGAGTATCTATCCTTCTGCTACCGGTTTGATGATTGGCATTGATCTCGCGTACAACCTGTACTCGGCCTATGGACAGTACTTCCCTGGTCTCAAGACTCTTATCCAGCAGGCTATGGCCAAGATCATGAAGGCGAACCCCGCCTTGTATGTCCTGAGAGAACGTATCAGGAAGGGTCTGCAGCTCTATGCCTCGGAAAGCAACCAGGAGTTCTTGAACTCCCAGAACTACTCGGAGCTTTTCAGTCCTCAGATCCAGCTGTTCATTGACGATACCAATGTCTACCGTGTCACCATTCACAAGACTTTCGAAGGTAACCTGACGACCAAGCCCATCAACGGTGCTATCTTCATCTTCAACCCCAGAACCGGACAACTGTTCCTGAAGATTATTCACACTAGTGTCTGGGCTGGACAGAAGCGTCTGGGTCAGTTGGCCAAGTGGAAGACAGCAGAAGAAGTGGCGGCCCTCATTCGTTCCCTGCCTGTTGAGGAGCAGCCGAAGCAGCTAATTGTTACCCGTAAGGGTCTGTTGGATCCCCTGGAAGTTCACCTGCTGGACTTCCCCAACATTTCCATCCGTGCTTCCGAGCTTCAGCTTCCTTTCCAGGCCGCGATGAAGGTTGAGAAGCTTGCGGATATGATCCTTCGGGCAACGGAGCCGCAGATGGTCCTGTTCAACCTGTACGATGAGTGGCTGAAGTCCATCTCTCCTTACATCGCCTTCTCTCGTTTGATCCTCATCCTGAGAGCCCTCCACGTCAATATCGACAAGGCCAAGATTATCCTCAGACCCGACAAGAGTGTCATCACCCAGGAGCACCATATCTGGCCTTCGCTGTCAGATGAAGACTGGATGAAGGTTGAAGTGCAATTGCGTGATCTGATTCTGAACGACTACGGCAAGAAGAACAATGTCAACGTGCAGAGTCTGACGAGTAGTGAAGTCCGCGATATCATCCTGGGTATGGAGATCAGTGCTCCTTCCCTGCAACGACAGCAGGCCGCGGAGATTGAGAAGCAGCAGGAAGAGCAGAAGCAACTCACGGCTGTTACGACGAAGACACAGAACGTCCGTGGTGAGGATATCATCGTCACTACCACGTCGCAGTATGAGCAGCAATCGTTTGCTTCCAAGACTGAATGGCGCACACGGGCAATCGCGACGTCCAACCTTCGCACCAGGTCGAACAACATCTACATCTCGTCGGATGACGTCCGAGAGGAGGGATACACCTACATCATGCCGAAGAACGTCCTCAAGCGCTTCATCACGATTGCAGATTTGCGTGTGCAAGTTGCTGGATACCTATACGGTACCTCCCCTCCTGATAACGACCAGGTGAAGGAAATCCGCACCATTGTCATGATCCCCCAGGTGGGCAATACGCGTGAGGTGCAGTTGCCGCAGCAGCTGCCCCAGCACGATTATCTCAATAACCTCGAACCTCTGGGTGTTATCCACACCATCTCTGGAAACGAGCCCCCTTACATGTCGGCCATGGATGTTACACAGCATGCTCGTTTGATGAACGCCCACTCCTCCTGGGACAAGAAGACGGTTACCATGACAGTGTCTTTCACCCCTGGATCCGTGTCACTTGCGGCCTGGGGTCTCACGCCCCAAGGCTACAAGTGGGGAGCAGAGAATCGTGATACCACGTCTGATCAACCGCAAGGATTCTCGACCAGCATGGGAGAGAAGTGCCAGCTGTTGCTCAGTGACAAGATCCGCGGATACTTCCTGGTGCCGGAAGACAACGTCTGGAACTACAGCTTCATGGGCAGCTCCTTCGGCGGAGTGGAGAAGCGGCCGGTGTACGTGAAGATCGACACCCCTCTGAGATTCTACGATGAACAACATCGTCCATTGCACTTCCAGAACTTTGCGGAACTGGAAGATATTTGGGTTGACCGTTCTGATAACTTTGCGTGAGCGATGTGTGGATGGCGTTGGCATGATAATATTTTTCTTCTTCTTTTCCCCTTTTATACGGACGATTACGCTGTTCTGAAATTATTTCCCTATATCTTCAAGCCATGTCTTTTTTCCCCTCTCAAAGTTTTCTTTCCTTTTGATGTTCGCAGTATACAAAATCCTCTCATGTGTCTTACTATGGTTACATTTTTTGATATCGATGCTTGGCAGCAAGTGAGGGATGAGAAGCCCAACGGAAGTGGAGATCCGGTGCCGGGGACGGGGCAAAAATGGCTGCGCTATGTACAGTAGACATGTAGGTAGCGATGTATGTTTAAGAAGTTTATTACCTAAAGTGGTCATCGGTTTGTAGATGTTCTCATGTATACTGTACGTAGAGTAGAGGATTCAATATGGAGATCCAACAGGCAGCTATAATACAATTCCGGGCTTTAGGAGTTTAGGGGATCGACCATGTGGGTGGGCAGCAGAGCTAAAGAGGGCCGGAGGAGACTGTCAATCAATATGGACCATGTGTGAGTCCACTTTGGGCCGGGTAGGTTAATCGTTATTAACGGTCTAGTAATAATAATAAAAAAAATACTATAAATTAGACCGGAATATGCTTAATATCAATAGTCTAGTTTGGTGAGGGGGTTAGTTGACGTGTGTATTTTTTTTTTTATTTTCTCAAGCCGGGGTGGGAAGATCAGTGTTTGTGTCTTGATGGAACTTGACCGAGCAAAAAGACCGAGTACGAAGGAGGGGGTGCTCCTGACTCTTGTCTCTCCCTCACACTCACTCACCTCACCTACTTACTACTCTTCCTCTCCCTCTCCCTCCTTCTCCCTCTTGTTCGCCCGTCTGAACCCACCCACCCTACTTAGTCCTACTGAACACTTTCCCTCTCACGTTCTCATTTTCTCTCTCTCTCCCTCTTCTGTGCCGTGCACGGCTGCTAACTAAAAACGCCTCTCACTTCCCCCCTGCTTCACTTTTCCTCCTCCACACCATCCCTTCCGGCTGGATCCGATGTACATTTCCAACGGTCTGGCCCAAGCACTCATCCAGCCAGCTGGTCGGGGCGTCTAAGACATTCGCGTCGGGCTCATTTTATTTCGGTGGTTTGATGCAATGTGATCAACTCGACTGTTTCACCAGTGCCTCATGGCCTGAAATCTCGGGACGAAAGTCAAATTGCAGAGACCCATCGGAAGAACTCGCCCTGCAACTGCAAGATACGATGGATGGGCTTACGGGGGATCCACCTTGACGCCAATCCTGTCCGGAGTACGGAGTACACGCCTACTTGAGACTACTACCCCTACAGGTTAAGTCGATATTCAGTCTGAAGTCTGAGAGGGGTCTTACGTGTTATGTACGAAGTATAAGCTCCCCAACCCCGTTTTTCCCTTTTTTATTCATTTGTTGGTTCTTTTTTATTTTTCCTTTATTGACTTCCTGCCTGTGTCCATGATTTATCATCCGTTGATGCTCATTGATCGAGCAGGACAATAATTAGGAATCAGCCGGATGCTTAAATCGTAACTCACTCTATGGAGTAGCTTTCTCTCCATCTCAACCGCTATGACACGGTGGTGGCTCTCGGGGCCTCTCTCTTACACCTTAACAGCAAACAGCTCGAGCTACTGCTACTACTCTCACCCGCCCACGGCCTATCATATTATAAAAAAGGAAATAAGGAAAATAAAAATGAACTAAAACATTAGACACATTCATGACAACCCACCTCTCACATATTTTACCCACGCGCTAAGCTCCCGGCCTCCGACCGTTCTCGGGGGCTTGTGTCCACGAGGGTGACCTAGAATCAAGAGCAGATAAGGTTGACAGGAAGGCTCCTGCTCTCATCAGAAGGGTCAAACTTGCTCCCCTTTGACAAAAGACATGGCTTTTCAGTCCAGCTTCGTCTGGCCTCACAACCCAAGGGGGCCGGAGACCCAAAAAGAACGAAAAAGAAAATAAAATAAAATTAAGTACAAGAAAAAAAAAGTGAGGCCAGGCAAAAAAGGGGAACCTAGACGTGGGTACGGTTTAGGCTCGAGCCTGACCCGCGATCATTTTTTTTTTCTCCTGCGCGATAGAGTCGTATTCTTAGTCGATGGGAGCCACCGCACATCGTTCATGCGTGATTGAGGAGTCGTGATGTGCGCGCGCGCGCTCTCTTTCTTGATTCCCTCACTGGTGTTGTGTTGGTTTGGCTTCCCGCGCCCGTTCCAGGCTACGGGATTTTTATATACACTATCCAGACCAGGGTCGTTACTCCATTTCCCTCTCGAGAAACAAAGGTTCGGCCGGAACTCCCTGCTTAGCATGATGGCCCACCTCCGAGCAAGCTAGCACCCTCCCGCTAGTCATTCCAATCACCTTTTCCAGGTGGATGTCTCGCCGACGACCGTTCTCTACCCGCCATTGGCGTATTCGCTGAGTGGAGTTGCTGCGTCGACGTACGACGGTCCTTGTTCTGACAGGGGGCGAATTCCTGAGCGAGTTAGGAGCAGACCAGCACAACAGGTTTGACTCCCTTGACCCGAGTCCACCGACTCGCTCGTCTCATTCACGTTCGTATCCAATAAGTTAACTTCAGATTATGCCTGGCCTACGTATGGGTTTGGGCTTGGATCTCCCCCCCGCTTCTGCGTTTGCTCGGGGCTGGAGACGGTAGAGTTCCGAAGGAAGGGGGAGGGGCAGAAAGAGGAGAGAGAGGGTGATGGATTGAGTTATGAATGGAGGGCGACTCTTTGTCTACCTGAGCTTTGGCTGGTTCGCCGTGTTTCAAACTTGTACACAGTATCCCCGACTATTGCCCTAATTTCCTCCTCTACGGCAGTCACTGCCATGCCTTGGCAATCACCAGACGGGCCGGCGGAAGGCAAATGGTAGCCTCATCCTTCGTCCTGCTGGCATCCATGACCGTTGTCCCCTCTGGGTCCCTCTGCAAGCTAAGCTTGACTGGAACGCAGATCCGTCAAATGGGCGATTTCTTCTGCCAGCCCACCTGCACCTTTCTGATTTGGGTTATATGGAGTGTCTCCGTGTCTCGTCAATTTTACCCCATGGATTCTGACAGCTTATTTATTATGATTTGCCCTTTCCAGAACCTTTCATCGGCCGTCTACGCTGCCGTATATATCCTCTAACACTTACCCTATCACTGCTCTGCACGGGACTTTTACATGCAGCTGGAAGCAGCATCCCGGCATCAACCTCCACTTGTTCTTCCCCGTTAGATCCTGCATCTCAAACGACGGAGGGATACGGGCTGCAAGCCTATCTGCGGAGTTTCTGGCATGAGAATTAGACCTCCGACTTCTCTCAGTAGATTTGGTTGGGCCGGGCCTCTTGTCGGTGCGTCTGGACTCTGGTGAAGATTACCGGTCTTTTTCGGGACTTCCCAGCTGGCGCGCTCATCACTGACCCGGTGAGTAGTACTAGTAAGCCATCTATCCATCCCTTTCGCCCAGTGACTCTTTTCCTTTCCCATGGTGGCCAGACCCTGTGTCGCCTCTAGCTTCCTCTTTCACTCTCCTCCTCTGTTTCTTCTCTCCGTTCTCTCTGCCGTTGTTTTTCAAATGTGTTCGATATCCTGCGACCTGACTTCGCTACTCTCTTCCTTCCTGCACCTTGGGATGAGCGATCGTCGTGTCTTGACGTTGCTGTCGAGTCATTCAATCCATGACCTATAATTCTGACGACCAGATAGTATCGCGCCTCACGCTCTGAAAGCCAACGGTCCATATCCCAATCTTCTAGGCTTCAGAAGTTCGGTCTGTACATGGCCAAAGCTTTGATCCTTGCTTCAACCCAGAGAATTTCACGATCTGTCACTCTTCGCTTCATCGGACGAACTCCGACAGTCAGTCAGCCTATATCGTGACGGCCTTTTCCGTCGAGATAGCATCTTCGACCTCCTTCCTTTTCTTTCCCCCCCCCCCCCCTTTTTTTTTTCTAGAGCCAGTCAGTAGCCTGCCAGGGCTGTTAGGCTCTAGCGGCGCAGATGTATGTCCGCGACGCTGGCGGATCCGTATCGAGAGTATGCTATTGATTATTCTCAACATGCTACCTGCAAACCTGAGGAGCACACAGGCACGCTTGTTTACCACGCACAGCAGCCGCATCTCCAGCATCACAAGCAGCCCGAGCCTCCATTCTCTCAGGGGGCCTCTCATAGCACGACGGCATTTGAGCAACATCATGCGAACGCGACCGTGTTGTCAACAGCCACTCCGCAACAAACAGTCCATGATATCTCGCAAAGCGTTGTCCTTGGCCCGCCCCAAATGCTCCCACGACACCTTCCAGTGCAGTATCCACCTGCCAGCTTCGAAATCCCGCCTATTCAGCGCGAGAAGAAACGCCCTCATTCGGAGACCGAAGAGGATGGGAACCCCGACCATGGCCTGCGGCCACAGCTATCAGTCCTCTCAGCCGATGCCCCTCACGAACCCTCGCATTCTCCCGAGATGCTCTTCGGTGTCCATGGCACATCATCTCAGCAGCATCCCATGTCAAACCATGGATTCGGACCCACGGACTCTGTGGCCCTGCCGCAACATCACCATCACCATCGACTCCCGCCCCATGCAGCGCTGCGCGCCCCGGGGCGTCATGGAGTGAATATGGAATCGCCTCCTTTGCCCTCGGGTCCGCCGAGTGTGGTGGGCCAGCCTGGAATGCCGGATCCGGCTCCCAGGCCCCGAGGTCCAAAACTGAAGTTTACTCCCGAAGAAGACGCTCTACTGGTGGAGCTGAAGGAAAACAAAAACTTGACATGGAAGCAAATTGCAGACTTCTTCCCGGGCCGAACGAGCGGCACCTTGCAAGTCCGATACTGCACCAAGCTGAAGGCCAAGGATGTGGCTTGGAGTGACGAAATGGTTCGAATTTCCCTGGTGCATTTCTACGTCTTTCTCACATGCTAATGAAGGGAATAGGTACAAAGGCTGCAACGGGCAATGCACGAATACGAGAACGATCGGTGGCGTATCATTGCAGGGAAGGTTGGAAATGGCTTCACCCCAGCTGCTTGTCGCGAGAAGGCTATGCAACTCCAGTAAAGGCTTGGGGAATTTCTCATTTATATCTACTGTCGCCAGATTCGACCTTACTTGGACCCTCTGATCTCCCTACTCTCCATTTTGGTTCAAATGTCGGGTTTCCGATAGGGCTGGTGGTGCGGGCCTGTTGTAGGCACGGAAGGATGATCAGCATAACTCTGATATACTATAGGGACGGTTGATGTAAGGTATTTAGTGATGTATGATAATTCATTTCGGGGAACTTATGGCGCCGGCATTTGTTCGTTCGCAATGAACCGACACTAGCGTCCGCTCTCGCACTTTAGCACCGGCTGATCCCGGGCTGAACGCGGCCATTGCTCGGCCGGGGGCATGTGTTCTTCATCTACGGCAGACCGCAGAAAACCATTTGCGCAGACAGTAGACCCTAAGCCCTAAGCCGGACGCCCAATCGAGCAGGTCTGCGGACCAGGTCATTGCGGGCAGCCGTAGAAGCTCCGCAACCAATCAATCCCCGGCGCTGACTAAGGGCAGGCGACCACGGGCCGAAGCGGCTTCAAACTCACCTCAACCTCCAAACTCCCTCATCTCCAAACGTCCTTGCCTTGTCTGCCGTCATTGCAACCCACCCACTAGGACAATGTTCCTCCAACGCACAGCCTTCGCCCTCGCCAGGCGCACCCCTACCCGGGCTCTCGCTGCCCGTCCCTTTTCTTCCTCCGTCACCCGCTGTACGTGACCCTCATCGTCGGATCAAAAGACCGCCTCTTCTGCACCGCAGCAGTGGCAGCCGTCCCTTTTCTCCCGCGCTCCCATGGTCTCTATATGGGCCAATTGCACGGGATTGCAGACGTCGGTTCTGGATATGCGAGCTAACATGCCATTGCTGCTCCTATAGTCAACGCCAAGAAGTATGAGGTGAAGCAGGAGGGCAAGATCCTTCCCTTCGATGGTGAGTTGGCACCACATCCACTCCTACACGAAGCGTCAATTGTCCCTACGGATACACTTGCAAGATAGCATTTGCGACTTGTACTGCGAGTGAGGTTGCAATTGGGCATCTTATGCGGGGTTTCGGGCACTGGGGACATTTGATAGCCGGCTACTTGCATCTTCTCGATGCCTTGACACATGGTTGACATCATACTGATTGTGCGCTTTCTTCCTGAACAGAGATCAAGACCGAGGACGACCTCATCCCCCCGGGTGCTAAGTCCGGTACCGTTCCCGTCGATATCGAGCACGCCACTGGTCTCGAGCGTCTCGAACTCGTCGGAAAGATGCAGGGCATTGACATCTTCGACATGCGTCCCCTCGATGCTTCCCGCAAGGGTATGTCATACACTATTTTCGCTCTTTGCGGTGGCTTTTGAAGCCTTGTCTAGGTGATTTGCGAGGGTGGGCGCTGATATAACGCTATATAGGAACCCTCGAGGACCCCATCATCGTCAACGGTGCTGGTGACGAGCAGTACGCTGGTTGCACTGGTTTCCCCGCCGACTCTCACCAGGTTAACTGGTTGACTGTAAGCCGATTTCTTCTGTGCTGTTTATCTCCTGTGATAGCATGATCCCTAATCAAGCCACAATACAGGTCTCCCGTGACCGCCCCATCGAGCGCTGCGGCGAGTGCGGTAACGTTGTCAAGCTCAACTACGTCGGCCCCTTGGAGGACCCCCACGCTCGTAAGTGACTTCCCATCAATCCCGGCCCAAACCATGGCCATCATTCGCTGTGCGATGTACTAATTGCTCCCTATCCAGACGACCACGACCACGGTCACGGCCACCCCCCTCACGAGGAGCCCAAGACCTTCGCCGACTTCGTCAAGCCTGAGTACTGGTACCGGTAAATACAATGTACTACTACAATGAATGGAGCGATTGTCCTTTTTCTTTTTCTTCCCCCTTCCCTACTTAGGTGCTATTTCTTCGATCCGGAGCAAAGAGAAACAATGGAGTGAAGCGAGATATTAGAGAGAAGAGACAATCCGACATATAATCTGTATGTGTACATGCGCGAGGCAGGGGGTGTTCTGGCAAGACAAGTCACAAAAGAGAGAGATATGGGGGGCGCCGGCTTTCTGTACAAGATTTCATCGGGATGAACTATTAGTTGTGTGTTGTGTGTGTGTGTATCGTTTGAAACCAATATTGTTGTATACTTTTGACAATTCCTATCCCTTCTTCCTAGATACTCTTCTTTGATGCTCGGTAGATCTAACAACGAGACTTATATCACCTCAAACCCGAACGATATAACACTTCAATTGGACGTATATGATACTATAGTATCCTATCAACCCACTACTCCTAGCACTACCATAACATGGAACACCCCGACTCCTAATGAGCAATCTCACGGAACAAGTACATTACTAGCATGTAATTACCCATGGCTTGAAAGAAACCACATACAACTCTGAACCTACTACCTAGAGTCCCTACCTAACTAACTATAGTGCGGTACGTGCAAGTGAGCTGATCAAGCGATTTTTTAGTTTACGCGCGGGTGGCATGATGTCCGGAACAGCGGAAACTAACGGAAAGGAGGAAGGGAAGGGAAGGGGAAATATTAGCCGTATCACGTGGTATGTAAAAACTACTAGCTCCTCGAGGGATTCTTTTACTTGCCTAATTAGGTAGGAGGGAAAAGTAACTAGCCAGGCCGTAGGCGGTATTAAGTAGAAGGTAGTATGATGGGGAATGTAGGCGCTATTACTGCTTACTTGGTAGCATGTACTAGTTGGTTCTTTGGGGGGTTTTTACTTTAGTAATTGAATTGAAGGTGTTGGGTAGTGTTCCCTTGGATAATTTTGTAGCTACTGTTAGGTTAAAGAGGATAGTAACGATGAAATGGAATTTTGAGTAATACTAGTGCAATCTTGTGTACATTTATTTTGATTGAGTGACAATGATGATGTCTGTCACTCGGCATAGTACTATGATATAATATAGTACATGATCAGTTTTGGGTATACCCTACAAGGTCAATGACCTATTTGTAGAGCATTTGGCAATGTTGAATTGGATATTTGTGCTCTTTTTCAGAAGCCCAATGGCATTACTGCCAGTTCAACGTCCGAAGTAACGAAGTTCGGCATATCGAAGAGGCGGATAAACCACACATGTCCATGAAAAAGCAACGTAGGTGCCCATCTACATATAGTAGTTAGTATGTGAAGCAATCGAGAATGTGTTTGTCATCAGGTCTGCTTACATCCGCGCCATATTCACCCACCAATCGCGCCAAAGGCCCGATATACCACACCTGCGCCATGCATAGGATTGCACCTGCCCAACCGATCAAGAAGGCGATGAAAGCGGAAATGCCCAAGGGCAGCTTGGATGGGTCGTTCCAGGCCTGCCAGTTGTATCCGCTGCGGGCGCGGAAGATAAAGCGGTCTTCTAGGATGATGGCTATCCAGATGGCGACCCAGTAACCCATGAGCGCGAGGAAGTTGGTGAAGATGTCGGAGAGGTTGCTTCGGCCCGCTAGAGCGCACACGGTGTAGATGATAACTCCGATGGCGTTCCAGATGGCTCTGGGCACCTTTTCGGCATATCGTCCGAGGATCTGAAAATCTACGCCAGCTGAGTACGTGGGTGGGATGGTGTTGGCGATGAGGCCAAGGGCAACGACGACGGCGCAAAACTTGCCGAATCCGTTCAGGGGGCTGAACCCTTCGACGATAAGTGCTCCGGCACCGTCAGCGTATGCTGTGCTGTATGCTGGGTCGGTGGTGATGCCCGATGCGAGACCGATGCCGACGAGGAAGGCCATGGTGAAAGAGGTCATCAGGCCGCCCAAGGAGAGGAAAAAGAGAGATGTCCTCGAGGTATTCTGAGGATAATAGACAAAAAAGTCCGCTGCCAGCGGTGCATATGTAATTGCAGCACTGAGACAAAGCGAGAAGAAGGATAGACTGCGAGCGTGGCATGTAAGCATGAGTTTATTCAATGGTTTGAAGTGGACTTACCGGTTGCCGGCTACTGTGCGAGCGTCGCCAGTCGATGGTGTGGACAAGTCATATTTCGTCCCCGACATACCGAACAGTATGCAAACAACAATAAGCTGGGGGAGAAAGGCAAATCTGGTCCCGTCAGTCGCAGAGATTTACAACCCTGATCGGTCGTACATACCGCTCGTAGTAATGGAAAATCTGAATGCCGAAAGTGGCTATGACCCAACTGATGATGGCGATGATCACAATGCCTTCATACCGTCAATAACCATACAACAATAGCTTGAAGCAATACCAACTTACCCACAGCAACCGTCATGTTTCCATGCGGTGAAACGGCGGACAAGATCTGGCCGCCAACCACGCAGTCGATCAAGCCATATCCCAGCATCTGAATCAGGTTCAAGATGACGATGAGTTTGCTGGGCCACCAACCCATTGAATAGCGTCCGAATGCCTGAGATTATAGTGCTTAGCCACCGTTCTTTCAAGAGACAGTGTGTGAAAGCATACCATGGTCCGAATACCAGAAATAGGGCCCCATGTGGCCATCCACGAGGACACGATGGCACCGACCAGAGCACCGAATACTCCGCAAAGAGCCGAGTCAAGGAAGCTCAGTCCATACGTAGCAGGTCCCAGCATACCCAGTGTGATGTTGTTGGCCGCCAGATTGATCGAGACCCAAAGCAAGAAAGCCTGCAGGTAAGAAACCCAAGTCAACTTGGACATCCGTTCATGCTCTTTCACCCGCTCTATACCACGAGCTTCCAGGTTATATTCGACGAGTTGCTGTTCGAATCGTCTAAGATATGCAGCCATTCTCGAAGAGGCAAACGGCCCCCCAGGCTGCCTCTGGGCTCTTTTCTCGACATTTTCGGTAGGAGGAGAAGTATCTTCTGTCGAACGGATTCTTGAGATTTCTTTCTCATAGGGAGACCCTAGGGTGGGGACAGTTTGCGGCGAAGACATCCTGACGCACAATGTCAGTTATATAACCGGAGAAGAGGTGGGGTATAAAGAGAAGAAAAGCGCGCATGAGTCCTTTCGCTGGAATTATCCAGATCAAGTTCAACCGTATAATCTCAGATCAACAAACGGGAGCCAGCACAGTATCCGGCGAGTTAAGCAAGCCTCCAGATATTAGCCCGGATAGTGTGTGTGACATCCAGTTGTTGAACACCGGTCTTCATGCAGGCACGCTACCTAGATACCTTGATCGACAGACAAAACCACGCTACTCGTCTTCATGATAGCCGTCCCTTGCATAAGGTTTCTGTAGGAAGGCGGGAGAGCTGTACTTGTTGCGATTGCACTGGATTCGTCGTGGCGATTACACCTGGTGGAACACATACGCCAATCGCACGTCAGTCAAACTTCTTCTGACAGTTTTTGAGAGATCGTAATGAATCTCGTTATTTCTTCTCATCGAAAGGAATTTACCAGTTTTGATCAATGTTATGCAGAAATCCCACACCAATCGCAGTCGTGCAGAATGCTAGCCAGTAATCTGACAGTAAGATGGAACGATTGCAGTTCCGGCGAGTGTAAGTGGAGCGGGTAGAAGATTCCACTCTGAGGCGATAAAATCGTAATCTGCCGCGGGGAGATTCGGTTTTCCAGGCGGGCGGATCTCCTCCGCTTTTCATCCTCCCCGACTTCGGATATAGTACTATCTATCCCACAACTACTCCCACTCGCCCTGATCGGCTTGTGCCGGCTAATGTTGAGCAACTAGCAACTACTAGCATATAATGCTGACTACCTCGTCTACCTGCAGAGTAATAAGTCCAACTCCAGCAACAACTCATATTGGTGACCACTACATGCTGGGACACCGAGAGTAAGCGTCTACTTATGTTTCCTTCTATAGAAAGATTAAAAACCTTACAGCAAGCTTCAACGTGTTGTTGGGTGCGCGACAGGATTGATGTCCAGGGTGCGTTCCCCCCGCGGCGAAAAGCTGCTGCAAAGACCCGTCATGGAGTTACGCGAAACGAACAGTGGCATTCACCCAGGATATGAGGAGACAAGGAACAAGACGAAATAACCAGAAGAGGCGCTTGTAAGAAAAGAAGAAGTGGGAAATAGTCGATCAGACGGGACCAGCAGAAAGTAAAATGAAAGACGCAAGCCAACTCCGATAACCCTTCGCCCGATACTTTGCAAATTGTGGCTAACATCGAACATTGCGCTGACATCTTCAGCCTAAAGCAATGTGAATCCAAAACTCATGCCCATCGTCGATTCGTTACATGTGCGGAAGACGATGCATTGGTCATCACGTCGTCAAGAGTTCGTAGGAAATCTAAAGGTCCTTGAAATGTTCTTTCGCATATTGTTCGCACGCCTAAATCACCCATGTCAACGATCCAGCAAGGCATCTACAGAGCCCGGAAATCTTACCTTGGCTGGCTTTCCGACTTTCAGTCCAATCGCCTTCCATTTATTTGCATCGTATTCCCTAATCGCTTCCCGGAGTGCTACGGACTGTCCTTGGTTTAGCATCGCTTGACAAACAAAGTCGTACGTGAAGGGTCGTTACCTCGTCTTCAGCAAATTCGGCATAGTGCATGTCCTATCGTGGCATAAGTATCTGCATCCAGTCTTCGGAACAGAGCGACAGCAATCTGCTTACTTTGTACCAATGTTTCTTGACGCTGCCTTCGGTCCGGGCAGGGAATGTCTGTAGCACCCGGGAAATTCAGGTCAGCATGCGTGACGTAGTGGATGGTACTGAAGCAGGGGAGCTTTATGCACCTTGGCAATCTCGCTCCAGGTGCGACCCGCGTCGCGCATGGTCTTCAGCCTCTGCTCTTCCTCGGCAGTCCACGGAGTGTTGGTCCTCCCCTTCTTCTTAGGGGCAGGCTCCGATCCTCCAGGCCCTTGCTCGTGCGCAGTTTCTCCCGTCGCCGGAGCCGCGCCTGGCGCCGCCATGGTAGCCGCAGAGCCTGACTGGGGGGAAGCACGGCGTTTGCGCGGATTCTGGGGAGGAATCTGAGTTTGGGGCATAGGAATGCCCTCGAACGAAGGCACTCTTGAAAAGGGATTGACTTGCTGTTGAGCTATCAGGTGTGATGGTGCGTTGGAAGAGATGGAAGTCTTGATTCGCTTAGATGTTGGAGGGGACCTGTAGTAGAGGGACAGGCGAAAGGCGCCGGTGTCAGAGATGAGCCCACGACACGAGAAAAATGATTTTTTAAAAAAAGGAAGGAGGAGATAAAGAAGAAGTGAATGCAAGGCCAGAACGATAATCGCAATAAAAATAGAACGAGCCAGTCACTTTGTCAATTTGAACGGACAGGACAGTGAATTAGCCGAAAGCGGGAACAGATACAAACACATAGTAGATAAATTACAAGAGAAACACTCCAAGTGAAGCACATGACCCGAGGGGGTGGGTGTGAGGTATCTCAAAATCAAGTATATATGGAAGGACAGCTGCCACCGACGCTGCGCAGTCCCAGAGGCCAGCTTCACCTTCAGGCTGGGGAGGACGAGGAGGGACTTACGACATGGCTGATGATACGCAGTTATCCCAATCACGTTCTGTCGATTCATCTGTAGATACACATGCTTATGAGATTAGCAAATCTGCTACTCAAGGAACGCTCCGTGGAGATTGGCCGGTCAGGTTCAGGGAAGCGAGCGCTTGGTTACACCAAAGTGACGATGACACCGGCGCATCATACGGCGTGGCAGTAGCGCCGCAGGGAATGAGGTAGATGACGGGAAAAGAAGGAAAAAGTCGGAAAGATTGTTACATGCATATATGAAGTCGGAATGGTAGCGAGGAAAAGTCAAAGGACAAGAGAGGGAGGGAGGGAGGGAGGGAGGGAGGGGGAGTTGGAGTGAGGCAACTCAGGTGAATGGGCGATGAGGAGGGCAGGGCAGTGAAGAGTGAGGGGAGGGGAAAGGGGGGGGAGGGGCAAGGAGAGGGGAAAAGATAGTAAGTATAAACAGGCTTAGGCACAATCACAGGAAGACCTTTCTAGCATCTTAGGATACAGAGGCTGGACATAGTACGGAGTACTGGAGATGCGATGATAAGACGTTCTGGTCAGGACAAGTGGAGATGGAGACCGACTGAGAGTGTAAAGAGAGGCTTACTGGTCAAAGTTCATGGTTTGAAAAGGAGTCTCGGGTTTTTTCTGATAGGCAGGATGATCTGGTAGTGGCGGTGGTAGTAGTAGCAATAGTCGTAGCGAAGTAGTAGCGAAGTAGTGGTGGTGGTGGTGGTGGTGGTGGTGGTGGTGGTGGTGGTGGTCGTCGTTGTAGTAGTAGTAAATAAGTAGGAGGGAGTAGATCAGGTTCGAATTGGCAGGCCAAGGTCAGTAAGGGTCAGCTCAAGAGGATTCAACCTGTCACTCGGTCAGGTAATAGTAGTAGTAGTAGTAGTAGTAGTAGTAGTAGTAGTAGTAGTAGTAGTAGTAGTAGTAGTAGTAATAGTAGAAGTTGTGATAGTCAAGTAGTAAGGAAGTAGACTGAATTGAATTGTCTGATAAAATAATCAAAAAAAGGTGGTCGTAGTCAGAGCAACAACCAATCGGTCAGTCAGTCAGTAGGTAGTAGGCAAGTAAGGTCTCCAGTAGGGCAGAAAAGCCACCGTAGGTAATACTTTGGGTTCTGCTTTACAATTTACCAATTCCCGTAAATAAAAACAAATGGAAATGGATAATATAATGATAGTACAAGACTAAAGGAACCTCGGGAGTGGCAAGAGAGAATAGGATCCGGGAAAGAGGAACAAGAGGGAAAAAGGAAGAAGAGAGAGAAGCGGATGGGAGGACCGACAAGCAGGCAAAGCCTCTTCCTTCCTTCTCTTCTCATCATTTCTGACTAGTACTGCGGAGGGGAGGGGGAACAGACAGAACAATTCGATTCGAATCCACCCCAAGGCTAAAGGGAGTGCAGCGTCTCGCCAATCCCGCGTCCTCCGAGACCTGCTTGCTTTTTCCTCCTCAGCAGCGACGAGGCATCAGATTCCCTCCTGCCACCTCCTCCGGCTTCCTACTCGTCCTGTCCACCGGAACTAATGGAGACGGTGGACTCTCGTACATGGACCACTTCTGCACACCATCCACGATAGGCCCGTCCTTTTCCTAAAAAAGAAAGCTGCCTGAATGGAAGGATGGCCCGGTGGTTTCGCTTCTTCCATCTATCTACTACTTCTTCTTCGCCTTTGCGTAGGCCGAGGACATCCGCCGATTATCTAGATTATCTTCCCCTCATCCCCTCCTGGGTCAATGCGATACATACACTCGTCACTTTGGTTCAATCAACACCACCGCCACCATCACACCCATGTTCTCACAACGCCAGCCAGATGAGATACACGCCCCCCCCCCCCCACCAGCGTCCTTCTACCGATACCCCTATCCTTGTATTTACACCTACGATGAGCTTTCCCCTCTCCCCAATTTCTCCCGACCGGTGACTCAAGGTTGATTTTCCCTAGTCATTAGGCGTCCATCTCACAAGCCAGCTTCAACACTTGGTCAGCCACGGATCCAGGCAAGAATGCCCCTTCTGTGAACAAAACGAACAGCGATGATGGTGGTGGCGGCAATCTGACCATAGAACCCACCGTCTTTAGACAGCTTGACCAGGTCAACCTGGTGATGCTGCAGTTTTTAGTAGAACCAAGCAGGTTGGCGAGGCCAATGAGGGGCCCTAGACATCCCGATGATCGCGAGGCAGCTTACAACATGAAACGGACGTCGCCAGCTGCAATCTCGGGCCTTGGCAGTCCAGAGATGAAGTAAAAAGCAAACCTCGAGGGACCATGGATCCGGATCTTTGCTGTTTACGTGGGTGCCAGGTTCACTTTTCCTCCCAATGAAATAGCCTGATGGGAGACAATGAGAGCGGGGTAAAGGACCGCTACCTCCTCCTTCCCCCATCGACCGTTGCTTTTAGTCTAGTCCACTCTTCCCGCTTCATATGACGAGTGCAGGGCTTTGCGGGACCCATGATGCAAGATCGGTCTCTCCACAAATTCAAATCGTTCCAGGTAACTTATCAGGTAGGCTGCTTGTGCCCCCTAGAAACGAGCTTCTCTCCCTCATCCTTCGCCCGTTCCCAAGCACCTTATCTGTACCCTCCTAGGCTGGTTTGAAAGGTTCTAGATAGGCCCGTGAACCGTTTTATGGGACCCTGTGAGTCCGTTCCGAGCACGGTCCCCCCGGTGCGCCTATCGTTCCGATGACAGAGCTTACTGTCCTGTCCGCCATTCTCGCTATCCTTTACCTTGCAGGCCAAATGTCGATGGTCTTCCACTTCGGGCAAATACTGTTTCCAGTGACTGCGTTGGTACCAGTTGGGGTTCCATGTACAACAGATTGCTAATGCAGTGGCGTATGCAGCTGAAGGCAGGAAAATAGAACCGACATTCGCTTTGCAGTCGAACAATGCAACCACCTAAGCCGGATCAGCTTGTCTGAGTGGCTCTAGCATATAATATACAGTAACTAGGCTGCGAGACTGAAATGACTGATGGCGATGGCGTACACGTGGTGGATCACAGCATGATTGGACTATGCCATTATGCCGGTATGTACAAAGTTGTCATTGTTCAAGTGCGGATAGTTCTTAGAGTATCAATATCACCTCGAATAGTTGAGCTACTTACATGGAAGGAACAACGTCGTGACATGTCCAGGTTTGAGAACTCTTTTGAGATCTCGAGATGGGGTAACCTTTCCAATGGCCCTATTTTGGTCGGCGAAAGAGCCAATTCGAGGTAGTAGCCTTAATAGTACAATTAGCGCTCGCAAGAAGACTTTTCTAGAAGAGGGTTACCCTTCAACTAGCCAGAAAAGAAGTGGGTCACGAATTAAGGCAATGTGGCGCATGCTCAACTTTATCTTCTTTGGTTTCGGTTACCTCCATCTGGAGAAAAGAGCTTTATCTAACCTTGAGGTGATTCTTTAGCCGAAGATGCGTGTTAAAGACATGCTACAGGTTTCTCTATGCCAGAAAACGCTTCTTGCTTGAAATGATCTAACGAGGTTCCTACGCCGGAATTAAACAGGTTGCGAATCGTCTGTTCCAATGAACTCGGTACTAGCTTTTGCTTCGAGATACCCTTGGAATATGCATTCTTTTACGACAGAAACTATGACCTGTTTACAATTCGGTAGGTTTACCGACCGAGAAACTAGAAACCCTGTCTAAACACTGCTACTGTTCACCCGAGTTGTAAAAGATATATATTACATTTCAAAATCTTTTCACCTCCTGATATCAAACTGCCTATAAGATATACGTTGCTATACGCCTCGAAGTAACACCGAGAAGATATACTAAACAGTGAGTCTACTAAGTACAGACGCTGCATTAAAGGCAAGTACTTCCTCAAAAGCTATAGATGTGAACCGATCCTCGGTTCCTCATGCCTTCTCCGCTTATCCCATATACCTCCACTTAATCAAGCAGCCAACCAATGATTTTATCTCTCTCTTCGCTTTGACTGATAGGATGTGTATACAGCCTTCACCGCCAGCTTCTTCCTATATTTAGCCGCAATAGCAGAACTTTCGAACTTGTCACTTCTTCCTTATGGAGTACATTTACAGTGAGTCGGGGGGCCGCATTCTTCATCTTTGTTAAGTTCATGACCATAGCTGGATGTCCTTGAAGAAAATGATAATATTCCTAGATAGACATCTCTCAGGAAAGGAGAGTTCGGAATTTCAGCTCGCTTGTCTAGATAAGGCCGAAGTTTTGCGGCAGATTACTGCTCATAACTAAATTCGACCAATACCTCACACGGTCGATCAACGATCTTTGATCCAGCTATCTCAACATTTTGCTCAGTCTTTCTTACTAGCTTCAGTGTCTTTTCCTGAAGTATGGATGAGATGAGGTGACTTCACGTACAAGCTAGAATCAAGGAATGTTCTCCCAGCATGGGTCACCACTTTGAAGCTTAGAAACATAAACCGGTGCGTAAATTTCCATGTCCATTACAAGGTTTGCCTTTCACTAGATCTGGAGAACCCATAAGGGCGGGTACTGATAAATCCTAGTGAATAGCCAGTTGTCCGTCTGAGTTTCATGTGAGCTGAATTGTGAAGTTAGGCGACAAAGCAAGGAAAGGACAGAGCCAGCACTCGATTACACCATTCGGGGTTTCCTAGCTGTTGTATCCAAGTCAAGAGCGCCAAAATCTGATACTCTCAAGAGACAGATTCGACAATACACCCCATTTACATGATCTTTCCTTTCCTTGCTTGCGCCGGCTCTCTAACGCTCTTCACACATTTGGTGCTCTATCTTGCTAGTATAAAGTCATCGAACAGTCTAAAGAGCACCAGCCCCGACCGTCAACTATTCTATTAGCTCAGAAGTTTCCGACATGATAATCGCGGAGTTCTACTCCATACGCGGTGGCACCTTTACCCCGCTCTTCGTCTCCTATGCACAGCATACGCAGCGTGCGAATGGAGTGGCAGTGAGCTAAATACTGCTGCCGCATTAGCCACCGCCAGAGTCACGATTATTGGTCTGCTAGCTACCTGGATGAGAAGGCATTTGGATAAACAAGGGTGCAACAATATCTACTCGTCAGTGTCGGTTTGGGTGTGACCAGGCTGGCGCAATGGTCTGTCCAGACCATTCACCCCGGAGCTAGAAATGCGCCTCAACTTCTTCAGCTTCGAGGCAGCTATGGGCAAAGGAGCGCATCATCGAAAAGAGAATAGAGGTTGAATTACCCGCCAACTCACAGTATCTACAGCAAGCATTCATCAAGTGGGTTTGCACAGTTGATGGCAGACTAAACGTTAGGGAGGGGTCTGTAGTGGCCTGAAGTGAATAAGTAGTATTCGGCTCGTATCCCCTAACTTGTTCTCTGCCAATCATTGTTTACAGGAGATTCTGTTATGGAAGTAGCGGGGTTAACTCTTGACTTGATAGGCATTGCCATGGAGAGACAGCTTTGTGGCTTCCCGGCGCTGTTTGATATCATGTTACTAGACGGCCTACTGTTTGCTGGGGCAAATATATCAAAGCCTACAGGTAGACCCTAGCGTGAACTGCTTCACCCAAGTCAGCGATGTCTTGTACCATTTCTGTTCTGACAGAACGGATATAAAAGGTGGACAGGGCGTCCTGACGTCATCAGGAGAGATAACTTCACGGTGACACAAGCGTCCACTGTACGCCAGTGTTCACGTGATGACACGCGGCACGGGGCCCCCAGGTGCAGGTGGATCCCGTCGGTGACGGTGAGCTCTCCCTTGGTTGAGACCAGATAAGGCGGAAGCTCACAGGTTGACGCGGCCAGTGCAGGTCCATGACAATTAGACCGCTCATCACTGCTACATCAGCTCTTGTCGTGGCATCTTCAGCCTCTTTAAGACCAGTGTGCTTGGTCTTCCAACCTCGCAATCTCTCGCATTGACCGCATTGTCATACAGCGGCCGACAACCTACGTTACCCGACCGGGTCTCTGGGTTGATTAACGGAGCACGGTCCACACGAGGACCATCGAGGACCATCTCTCACGAACTTGCTAGATCATCTTGATGGTGCTCTAGAAAGTGGGTTGCAGGGCGATTCCACCGTGAAAGCTGCTTGACAAGCTTTCTCTTTATATATACTCTTTATTAACCATGCTGAACCTCAATATCTTCCGGCTACTGGCCGATCTCTCCCATATCTCCTCCAAATGTGTCTTGATATGGGCTATCCATCGAAATAAGAGTGCAGAAGGTCCGTATGATAGATTGCATCATTGCAGTGTGCTGCGAGCTAAGCATTGTTTCACATAATAGGAGTCTCCCTTCTGACGCAGATGCTCTATGCTTTGGTGTTCGTGACTCGTTATCTCGACCTTTTCTCGAAGGCAGGATGGAGGCACTTCTATCTCGTATTCTTCAAGCTATTCTATATAATCTCCTCGTTCTACGTTATATACCTGATGATGAGAGTATTTCCCCGGACACGGGAAAGGGAGCGAGCCTGGAAGATGGCTATAATATCGGTCGCCCTATCTCTGGTTCTGGCACCCATATCCATTGTCATCTTTTATCGTGGTTATCCCGATAGATGGTTCACAGAGGTAAGTTGCGTGGCTCGCATTGGCCTGTTGAGCTCGCTAACCGAATCATGATGATATGCAGACTTGCTGGACCTTCTCGATCATCTTAGAGTCCGTCTGTGTTCTCCCTCAATTGTTGCTCCTGCGCCAAACGACCGTTCCAACAGTCATCGATTCATACTACCTGCTTATGCTGGGCTCCTACCGCGCCTTCTATATTCTCAATTGGCTTGTACGGGGACTGGGCTCTGAGGGTCACTGGGACGTGATTGCAGACCTCTACGGTGTCATCCAGACGGCTTTCTACGTTGATTTTGCCTGGGTTTACTATACCCGCCAACGTGTGAAGCTCCGAAATGGCGGAGTTGTTGACTCGGAAGATTTCCGCCATAGCTGGCTAGTGAGCAAGATCCTGAACTTCCGGCAGCGGAGGAGTGCAGATGAGGAGCAAAATCTAAACGAGGAGGACGTGGAGGACGAGGAGGTCGCTGGTGGCGGTAGACCAAGGAACAACCGCTGGGGAGCAAGAGGGATCTCCGTCTCGGCCGACGATACGCTGGGAAACCATCGTGGGACAAGCCAAGACGAGAGTCTAGAAGGGTTCTTAGAAGATGAAGAAGACGACGATGACAATAATGGGTACCCTGTTAATGGGGGCGCTCATCCGAAGCAGTCAACCGGGGTAACGGGCAGTCACGAATGAACTGTCTGCCCTTAATCCCCATATATAGAAACCCTGCTGCAGATCAGCCGGTTTTGGTTACACGGCTCATTGCCCTCGGGGCATTATATACTTCCCCAGGGCTCGTTCTCCCCTTTCGCTACCTTCATGGCCTCTTTTCTTTATTACTCGGGTTCTTGTTTGCATGGAATTTCTCTCACGTCATCAAAGTTTTCACAATCTCAAATTATTTCTTTTTTGGAAATGTAGTAATGCAAAATGGGTCCAAACTGAATTAAGACACGGACATTTTGGATGCCAGTTCACCCGTTGCTGACGGTTAGATCATCCATGATTCAGTGGCAGGGTTGATTACTAGATGAGATCATCCCCCAGCATCCGAGGGGGCTATAGGTGAAACACAGGTGAGAACGACCCCATCGTTTCAGGACTGCAACCAGCCATTGCTGCGCCTGCCCATAGCCACAGCTCCTCGTGTGGGCATTGGACCATCGAAGAGGAACCCAGGTAAAAGGGGAAAGACGAGAGGGAAGAACGAAGGGGCCAATTTGAGGGCAAAAAACGCCTAGGCGACAACCTTGCCCTCATTCGGCAAATCCGGCATTGACCGACATCCTCCTGCTCTTGATCAGATCCGCGCCCGGTCCAAAATAGATCATTACTAGTGTTAGCGCGCGAGCCTGAGGATGGGCCTTTTTTGTCTTCTCTTCGTTCATGAAGGGGAAATAATGGGATTGATGACAAGGTGGCATCCACTAACCCTGAGGGGAAACTGAGAAACCCAGTGACATCACGTGGAGGCGCCCCGGGGGCCCCGATCGTTCGACTCGCTGAAAGAATGAAGATCATCCACATGGCGGTGATGTGCGCAAACCGACAGTGAGAGGGGCCTCGATGACACGCCGGTCAGAAGGCCGTTCCATAGGGCCAAATCCCTCGCGGACGCCGAAAGGAAATCCAGCATGAAAATCTTGCGCGAAGTGCACTAAGCGAATTCCAGAACAAGACGGCCTCCCCGAGCAGACCGGCGATTCCTTAGGCGCCAGTGCCATGGCGGGAATCTCCGGACTGGAATAATGGTTGGAGATGGACGTCCTGTGAAGCAACTCGCAGGTCTTGGAAAGGACCACCCCATCCATCCTCATCTCATCTGGCGCGTAACTCACCTTTCCCTTCGGGGACACGTGGCTTTGGTTGAACGCAGGTAGCCGGCAGGATGAGCACTGGACCGATCATATCTTAACCTGCTGGATCCAGGGGGACAGCCTTCCCGGCACCCGCGCATGAGTGGACTGAAATGGGGAGAGACCATACATTATGGCCGTTCATTACGGGCCTGGCGGATGGCTTTGGTGGTCAGCTCGACTCCGTAGGGCGATTGCACTAGTCCGATCGCAAAACCACAACAAGCATGTCTCCCCATGTCTGTCAGACAAGCCCGCCAGCCTAGCCTAGTCCAGTCCGTTCTGATCCACCGGGATTTGCAGCCGCAGCGACGGAGAAGCGCTTAATGGCCTATCTTTCCGTGCTACCCCTGCTCATAGAGCTTCCTTGATGCTCTCCTCCGGTTTTGCTGGTGACCGTGTTTCCTCCACAGCTTTCCGAACAGGATTTAGTTGCGTCCGGCTAACAAAGCACCAGAATCCTGGCTTATGACCTACCGTTGTTGGGGCTGCGTCTAGTAGCTTGTCAATTCGTCTTCTCTTGGCCGCTCTCACCCTCCATCTCCACCTCCCGTAGCGGCTAGGAAACTGGCGATGCGTTCATCTGCCGTTCGGAGACTTTCTGGTGTATTTTTTCCACGCTTTTTGACGGATTTGTAGTCATTTAATTATTTGTTATTATACTTTCTTCATTTTGCGATCCTTTACCCGGGATTTTCTTATCCGCTAGGCTTTCTCCGTTGGACTTGACCATTAGCAGAACTGTCAGCTCCAGCGCTAACCCACTGATTGCCATTTGATATGGACTATGGGCGGTTCGCTAAAGTGTCGGTTTTTTGTCACTCTTTCCATGGCATTACCCATTCGACAGTGCCCACATCAGGGATCCAGTACATCGGAACTAAGATCGCAGCAGGTACTGCCTTGTTCTTGAGTAACATGGGTGGGCCTGGGAATGCAAAAGTCTGAGCCCCGGGGGGGTTTGGGGGCTGGATTGTCTCCCTTCTCATGTCATGTCAAGAGATGAGAAATTATTTCTCTCTCCTCCCCTGCCCCTCTAGAAAATGGAGCCATCCGCCTGGAATCAGCGGGCGCTTAAATGCAGGCGCATGGTCATACCTACAACCTCTGATTGCGATTCAATTTTTGCGGCACAGTGAAAGTGGGCGGTACCTACCATGTTCACTAGAGCTCTCTAAGCCCGATCACCAAAGGCTTCACACTTCTGGCCTGCCTTGCGAGGCATTTTGTCTTTCATTGATATCTCCTACTCGAGTATATGAACCCACACGCACGTCCATTAAACTTCTACTCCTTCCTTCCACATTTCACTTCAAAAGCAATCTTTGCCTTTTCACCTGACGATTACGACTTGTGAAGAACTATAATTCTTTTCTATCTGACTCATTTTGAAGAAGCCTTCTTAATCTCTCTACTCGTTCATTCGTCCAGCTTAATCATCTATTATATTAGTCTCCTTGCCACTGCTGGCGGTTTGCCCTCTTGCGTGTTTCATCCACGTTACATTCCTTCCACAACAACAGCCCCTGCATCATTTGCAACCGCACGCTGGACTTCACAATGTATCCCCAGACACCTATCGGATACTCGGCGCCAATGGTGTTCAGCCATGGTGGCTCGAACCCCGGAGATGGACTTGACGAGTACTATGCCAGCATGCAGCCTCAGTGGACCGCACTCGATACTGTACGTTGGATTCAGGTGTCATTGGATCGTCACTTGCTAATTATTCTGGCATATAGTCACCTTACACCGGTGTTAGCAATCCTTATACTACGGCAGCAGCTTTCCCGACTGGTGCCATCTTGACTCCGATCAGCCTTCCGGATAGCTCCTTCAGACCAAGCCCGGTGCTCAGTCATCACTCACAAGAATTTCACTACAACGTTCCCGAGTCTGTCCCACCACAAGGCCTAGGCATCACCGCACCCTTCCCCAGCAGTTTTCCCCGTACTGTCACTGCAGGTCTGGGGCATACCTCAGAGGAACCGGACTTTGGCTTCAGCGAAGCTATCCTGTCACCTCAACCGCCACCCGCGAAGAGGGTCCGACGTGGGCCCAAGCAGGCGGTCACACCCCGAGAAGCACCGGTTACAATACTACCTAATCCTGAAGGGCTGCAGCGCATGGAACAAGAGCGACGACAAGGGGCAGCCGACGCGCAGAACAGTCAAAGGCCCCGGGCTCCGGGTCGGGGGAGGCGAGACCCGCAAGCTGAGGAGGAAGATGCATTTGTAGAGAGGCTTCGGGAGCAGAATCTAGCCTGGAAAGTGATCCGGGAGATGTTCCGGAACAAGTTCCACAAGGATGCCTCGGAGGCGCGTCTACAAATGCGCATGTTGCGGCGACGGAAGGAGCGATTGGCACGGTGGGATGAGAATGATGTGAGTACGTGCGCCCAAGCAGTCGCAAATTGTCAACTAATTAACGATCAAGTCATCCAGATCCGACTGCTCATAAGAGCGCGGGAGTACTGGGAGCATGAGAAATACAACGTGATTGCACAGAAGGTGAGTCCCTAGTGCAACCTTGGCCCAATGGACACTTGCTAATTAGATTACGAATCTAGATGAAGGAGTTCGGAGCGGGACCGTACACCCCAGAGCAATGTGAAGCCCAATTGCGATACCTCGATGCACAGAACCGGGAGCGTAGCACTGGTCCGCGGACACGAATACCTGATCCTCAGCCATCGCGAAAGCGATCATGGTCAAAGGTGGCCTCCAGTGTGGCCAGTGGTAGTACGAAGTAGCAATTGTGGTTTTTTGGGAATGTACTTTTTTGACTTTTTTTCTGGGAGGGATGTTGAAGCGCATTATGGATTCCTTTGGGGCTTTCTTTTTTTGTTGGGGGGAAATTACACGCAAGGATGATTGTTTACGTCTGGATGAGTTTCTTTGTTTACTTGGATATACCCTGTGACCGATTGCATGCGAATGACATATTTCTGGATAATTTTTGAGCAACGTGAATCTCAAATCATGGACTTCGAGAGAGCGTCTCCCGACATCGGGAGAGAAAGCGAGCACGCCAATCAAGGACGGGCCTTGCTCTGGACGCTAATGCGACGGACAAAGAGACGAAGCCAGCGTCGTACAGCCCCTAGGGAGTTTCCCAGCTGCTAAGCGATCACAATTAAACTTTCAGGCCATCTAACGGCTGAAGATCAGCTCGACTAGGGGCCCAGCTAGCCTCTTTTGGTGGGAGATAGGCTGCATCTCCAGAGGTCAATTCTTAGCCGCCAGCAGCCCCAAGCCACACGACAGCTGGAGGACGTCGGTCCCTATGAAAGAGCCGCCGGGCTGATCCTCCACACGCTTACGTACAGATACATGTTGCCTAGCAGCTGCCTAACTGGTGATGTTTTAGGAGGAATGCAGTCAGTGACTCAAGCAGTCTGGACCGGGTAGAAAACTACTCGGCTAAGTTTAGCCTGGTGTTACCGGCCAATGCAATGACATGCTCTGCCATGTCATGCACATGTACATGTACATGCACCTTTCAGCCGCAGTAGCAGGGATTGTCAACTTCTTCCCACGGCGCTGGTTTTACCGCCTGCTTTGGCTCCTCGGGGATAAGATTAGTGTTCATGGCACAGCTATCTTGCGCACGCCGATGACAACATGATCGTCTGCCTAGCATCTAATTGAATTGCCTCCCGTCAAATCCTGCCGTTGGTTCTGCGCCAGCATGGCGGCGCACAGGATTTCTAGAATCAAGCGCCAGGAATGGTTACTGCGCTTCTAGTGTCGCTGTCGTCTTCCACCCCCTCAGCGGGCGGGCTTGCTGAGTGTTGTACACGTCTTTGCCGTTGCATTCTTTCCGTTCGGACCTTCTCCGGGTCCTTGAATGATAAGCGTCTTAGACACACTAGCTATGAGGGTCGTGCATTCGTTCAACGTTACGGGGGCTAGACACCCAGCATCAGGGTTTACGGGAGGAAGGGAGTAGCAGCAGGTGCCCGGGCTGTGCACACCCGAAACATAGGCTCTAATGGTCGTCCTCCCCCTCCTCTTCTATATCCTCATCCATTATAGGGAACGTCAACAGGGCTGCCACCCCTCCTAGCCCATCAAGTCGCCTTCCACTCTCATGGTCGGAGCTAAGCACTCGCACCTCACCACCCTCCACATCCCGGACCCGATCTACCAGCGATACCCAGCGTTTGCGCTCCGCCACATCCTGTGACCTGAAAAGCCGATTGGAGATGATCAGCACGCCGCCACCGCGGCCAACGGCACCCTGGTCGACAGCGAATTCAACCTCGCGAGGACCATATGTCGCTTTGTTGGTTTCTTTGCGGAGCTGGTCGAGGAAGTCGTCCATGAGCTTTGTCTCGCGCGCGTACTTGGTATCGGCAAGGATGGTCTTCACAGCCGGCGACTGCAGCACTTCCGCTAGCGAGTGCAGATAACCGGAAGCCGAGTGTACAACCACGATACTGGGTAGGAGGCGTTTAAGTGCCGGTGTCGAAGTGGATGCCTGCGACTGGATGTACTTCTGGAACCCGGAGGCCACGAAGCCTGGCGATGCAAGGAGAACCGGTCGAACGGTCTCGCTGCTGGTGAGTGAAGCCGAGCTGGTGTTGAATTCCAGCTGGCGCAGCAGCGTATCGAGTGTAACCTGGAAGAATTTCGACATACCCTTTCCCCACGCCAACCTGTCAGCATACACAAACAACCCCAACACGGGGACAGATAATCATGGTACAACCCACCTTATCATGATCACCCCCACCATGCCGTTTCCTGGGCACCGACATCTCAATCTTCTGTTTTAGGATAGTCTGAAACTGCCCAATAAAGCAAATATGCGCCAACCCTTCCTGCATCACCACAGCCACGGCCTCCGCCCTCCGTTGTCCCCCTTCATCCACCGCATCCTTCAACATCTGCACCGCGATACTGTCCCATCCGACGCCCTCACCGTCCGCCCCAACCTCCTTTTCTAACGTGAAGTTCCGATTCAGCTCGAGATCGAGCGTATGATGTTGTCCGATCTTCGTATGGGCCGTCTCGTTCACAATTGTCCCGCTAACATGTAGCTGCGAGC